CCTCTCAAATGTGTTTGTTCATACAAAAAAAAATGGCACTCACAGAATGACTCTAAACCTGAAGGGTTTAAATACGTTTGCGTCCTACCATCATTTTAAGACGGACACTTTTCAAACTGCAGTTAAGCTCATTCGACCAGGATGCTTAATGGCATCTGTCTACTTGAAAGATGCCTACTATTCTATCTCCATAGCAACAGAGGATAGAAAACATTTAATGTTTACATGGCAGGGGTCATATTATCAGTTCACTTGCCTGCCCAATGGCTTATCCGTTGCCCCAAGAATCTTTATAAAAATACTGAAACCTATCTATGCCAATCTGAGAATGTTGGGTCATACATGTATGGGGCATATTGATGACTCATTATTAATTGCCCAGTCTTACAGTGAATGTGCAGCAAACATTAATGACACAGTTGACTTGTTTACAAAACTTGGATTCAGGATACATCGTGAGAAATCAATTCTGACACCTACACATGAAATAGAATTTGTTGGCTTTATAATTAATAGCCTTTCCATGTCTGTAAGACTCAGTGGTTAAAGCTGCAAAAGTGCACGAAGCTTGCAAAAATACTCTAAACAGAAAGCACATCACAATAAGGGGTGTGGCTCAAGTTATAGGACTTCTAGTTCCTAGCCTACCAGCAGTACGATATGGAGAGCTTTATTACAGAAAGCTAGAGGTGAACAAATCTAATGCCCTGAGAAAAAACCACGGGGATTTTGTTGCAGAAATTACCTTATCTGAGGAGTCAAAATCAGAACTGTTATGGTGGATAAGTAATGTCAACCATGCACAAAGACCTCTTGTGCTTCAGAAACCTCATCTAATTCTTACAACAGATGCTTCCCTCCTAGGATGGGGTGCAGTGTTTAATGGGAAAGAAACAGGGGCCAGTGGAGCTCAGAAGAACAAAGCTTTCATATAAACTACTTAGAAATGAAGGCACTTTTGTTAGGGTTGCAATCCTTGTGTAGAGATGCTCATGATACCCATATTTGCATTGAGTCAGATAACACAACTGCAGTATCCTATCTTAATGTCATGGCTGGCGTGAAATCAGAGCAATGTCATAACATGGCCATCCAGATTTGGGAGTAGTGCATCTCCAAGAATATCTGGATTAGTGCTTGTCACATCCCTGGGTCACAGAATACTCAGGCTGACACAGCTTTAAGACTGTTTAAAGATTCTGTTGAATGGTCATTATCAACAGAAGTATTTCAGTCCATCCTTACACATTGGGAGCCCTTTCATATTGACATGTTTGCCTCAAGACTTGACTACAAAGTGAAAGAGTATGTTGCTTGGAGACCTGACCCAGAGGCTAAACTCATTGATGCCTTTTGTGTTGGTTGGGAATCTTACTTTTTCTATGCATTTCTGCCTTTCAGTCTCATTCCTCGATGCATGAAGAAGATAGAAGAGGACAAGGCAACAGGAGTTCTGATAGAACCCTTTTGGAACACACAGGCATGGTTCTTAATTCTCCTCAACCTGCTGATAGACAGCCCAGTGGTCCTTCCTCAATCAGACAATTTGCTACTTCTACCCTAGACAGGGGAACAACACCCTCTTTGAAGGAAAATGTGGCTAATAACATGTAAATTATCAGGACTAGATTCCTGCAGAAGAATGTATCAAGCGAAGCTTCAGAAATCATCATGTGTTCCTGGGCAGATACTTTCCTCAAGCAGTACCAACCTTATCTCCAGACCTGGCTCAAATTGTGTTGTGAATGGTAGGTTAATCCCTATGATCCACCTCTAAACAAGGTCCTAGATTTTCTTACGAGTTTATATGACAAAGGCCTTACATATGATGCAATCAATACAGCTAAATCAGCAGTCTCTGCCATAACTGAACCAAAGAATGGCCTAACCCTTGGTAACCAGCCTCTGATTTCACGGTTTATGAAAGGCATATTTAGAAACAGAGCTCCTTGCCCTCGTTATGAATCCACATGCGATGTTCAAGTAGTCTTATCGTGTCTGTCATCCTTTGCCTCACCAAGCCAGCTGGATCTTAGAAATCTCACTCATAAGCTTGCTATGTTGATAGCACTTGTGTCAGCACAGAGAACTCAGAGCATTCATTTACCTGATTTACAGTTTATGAAACCTAGCAACGATACGGTTGAATTTGTTATTCCTACACATATCAAACAAAGCCAACCTGGGTATAAAACCCCCACCATTATTCTTAAAGCATACCCTACAGACCCAAGATTGTATGTAATTAACCACTTGAATGAATATTTCAAGAAAACAAGATCTTTGCAAGGGGAGGAAAATAAGCTTTTTGTTAGTTACGTCCAACCTCACAGAGGAATTTCCAAGGACACAATAGCAAGATGGATTCCTACAGTTATGCTGAAAGCTGGACTTGATATTACCAAATTCAAGCCTCACAGCTCTAGATCGGCTGCAACATCCAAGGCAACTCAAGCTTGTGTTCCTGTACAGGATATACTGAAACAAGCTGGTTGGTCTA